TATTGTCATATAGGACATTTAAATTACTTTTCATTCATTATAAAAAATGACTGATAGAAAATACTATGAGGCAGATGGTTAGGTCCTATTTTGATGTCATTAAGAGAAAATTGCACATATTTTGTTCCATGCAGTAATATGAGAGGTCATTTAGTGAAAAACACATTTACTAAATAAACATTTTCTGTGGAATGTGTTTGGGTATAAATATTTTTATTGTAATTGAATTTCTTTGCTATGTATGGCACTCATATTTTTAAAAACCAACTAGCTGACCTTAGTGTCTATGTTGCTTTTATTATTGTTATAGTTGCTGAGGTGCTCAAGATAAGAGTTTTACAGGCACCAGTCAAGGGCCATACATTTCTTCTCAGTGTGCTTGACTTTTTTCAGGATCTTAAGAAACCATACCTCATGTTTCTTTTAGTTACCATCACTCCCGAATTTGCATCAACTCGTATATGTGTGAGCTTATTTTCTAATCTTGTTAACTAAAAAGTTGAACTTATGGAAGTCTAGAATAGAACACTAGTTAGCAGAGGCTGAGACAGTGGCAAAAGAGGTTGTTGGGAAGATGTAGGTCAAAAGATGCAAAATTGCAGTTAAACAGGAGAAATAAATTCAAGAAATCTATTGTACAGCATGATGACTACACTTAATAACAATATATTGTATTTGTAAAAATTCTAAGAGAGTAGATTTTACATTCTCACCACAAAATTGATAACTATATGAGGTAGTACATATGTTAGCCCAATTTAGCCATTCTACAATGTGTATATATATTCTAAAACATCACGCTGTACATGACAAATATGTATAATTTTGTCAATTTTTAAAAATGTATGTCTTTATTGGTTTTATATTTTAGAGAAGTTTAAACGCTTTCCTGTCATTTGTAACATTTTAGATCATTATAAATTGGACAATTTGTTTCAGATTTATTTGGGGCAGAGGCGGGAAACTTCTTCTGGATCTTCTGGTAAGGCCAGATTCTCACCATGTTGGTGTAATGGGTATCTGTGTCTCTTTCCTAGAGCAGGGGATATCCATGCACATTTTTTTTCTTGGGGGGGCGGTTTGTTTTAGAATGTATTTCTTAGGAGTGTAATAAGAATTAAATAAAATAACACAATTCTAATACCTAACAGAGGGTGAATCTTGTAAACTCTCAATAAATGTTAGTTTAACACACACACACACACACACATCCCTACACACGCATACACACACACATATACATCTCAGAATATAGTAATGCTATTTGGCTTCAGATCGACAGGACCCTCCCAAAGCCGTTATAGGAGTCTGTGGATTGTTTACTGGGCAAAGCACACTGACATTAGTTCTTTACTTTTCAGTTCTTCCTGATTCATCAATCACATATTTGTACACACCCTACAATATGTATAGAACTTTTCTGGGTGCTTAACAAGATGCCAAGTAGTATAAAATAGTTATTTCCTTCCTCCCTCTTTCCTTCCTTCCTTCCTTCCTTCCTTCCTTCCTTCCTTCTTTCCTTCCTTCCTTCCTTCCTTCTTTCCTTCCTTCCTTCCTTTCTTCCCTCCCTCCCTCCCTCCTTCCTTCCTTCCTTTCTTCCTTCCCTCCTTCTTCCTTTTTTTCTTTTGAGACAGAGTCTCGCTCTTTCACACAGGCTGGAGTGTAGTGGCACAATCTCGGCTCACTGCAACCTCTGCCTCCTGGGTTCAAGCAATTCTCCTGCCTCAGCCTCCCGAGTAGCTGGGATTACAGGCATGTACCACCACACCTGGCTAATTTTTGTATTTTTAGTAGAGAGGAGGTTTCACTATATTGGCCAGGCTGGTCTTGAACTCCTGACCTCAAGTGATCCGCCTGCCTCAACCTCCCAAAGAGCTGGAATTACAGGCGTGAGCCACCACGCTCGGATTTTCTTTTAAGAAGTTACAACCTAGCCAGAGACACCACTTTCTCACAAGAAAAAGTAATTAATTATATTCAGATTAATTGCAATTGCTTTCTTTCTCTTGTCCTCAATTATAATAATAGACCTATATTTTCAATCACCACCAAATAATTTAATCAAACCTCCAAAATTCTGAAAATTTTCATTCATTGATTCTGATTTCAAAGACCTTAAACCTTAAGGTTTTTCCTCCCTAGTAAACACCACTCAAGTTCTAGAACTCCTTAGTTCCTGATAATGGTATGGTCATGCAGAGGAAACAGTGAACTAAAACTTGGGAGATTGTGAATCACCCTTCCCAAAACCACTATTGAGTTCTGTGACCATAAAAAAAAAATCATTTCACCTTTCTGAAACTCAGTTCTTATTTTTTAAAACCAAGAGGCCAAAAAAGAAAACACCACAGAGCTCTTTGGCAGCCATAGCAAATGATGGCAACTTTGCTGTCCAGAATATCATAAAGCTGTTTGAAAAATTTATCTCCATTTTTCCTAATATGGTATCAAACCATCTTGATTACTCAATAATATAAGCTTAAATATTATCCTTTTAAGCTAACCACAATATACAGAAGTTAATATGGATGTTATTGGCTAAGATAAAATTATGAGTTATTTCTAAAACCAAACAGAAAAAGTAGGCGGAATGTGAGGAGTGCTTCAATAGAATCACATATTTCCTATTCTCACAACTATAGACTTTCCATCTATTTGGAAAAATGGAAACAAATAAATACAGATAAATCTTATATATGTTTGAGTGAAAACGTGAATGCACCATGCTTCAAAGTTTTTTATATATCTAGGGTAGAGAAAATACCATCGTGTTAGAAGCTAATGCCCTGAGAGATATAAACAAAGAAAACTAGCAATCTTTAAAGGCCTCAGTGAAGAGCTAATAAACTTTTTCTCTGGGAGTGATTTGAAAAGACTACTTACATCATCAAACAGTAAAAGTTTCACCTTTCATTGCATTAGAATAACTCAAGGCAAAGATAATTTTTCATTGTTACCTCAAGAAGAACCAGCATATATGTTTATCCATGCATACATACATTAGAACAAAATTAGTCATATTTTAAAACAATTTTCACTATTTTGACTGCCTTTGGATCTAAGTAAAGATACATTTTAAGAGGTGAGAAGATAACTGCTAAATAGAAACTATACCTTTTCATCTCCATGTTGTTCTTTCCAATAACTCATTCTGCAGGCAAGAATCTAGTAACCCTACTAAGATAGGGAAGAGTTTGTTCATGACTGTGAAGAGGCAACAATTAGTTTTCACACTGAGAAGCTCTTCCTAGGGAACATCTGAGTGTTGGAAACATTAGTCAACAATTACCAAACAAACAAACAAACAAAACACCTAAAACCCAAAATATTGCTTAAGTTCCCCTCATGCCACCAGTGGGTCAAAGACATGGGTCCAGCTCCACTGGTTAGCATATAGGAGAGGGTGGCCGCAAAGTATAGTAGCTCATTGTGTTCAGGCCTCCAGTAAGAATTACAAGACTATGTTCTTGAGCACAGTAGTGCCCCAACCTCATCCCTCCAAAAAAAATTCCATCAGTAGTATCCAGCATGACAGCAGAAGACTTAGGCAAATGGTCTATGAGGATAAAGACTTAGGCAAATGGTCTATGAGGATACTGGCTCCCTAATCCTCAAAGCCTGGCTCTAATCCTTAATTTTGTCTCATGCATGTCCCTCACTAGCAAGTGCCAGCATCCCACATTTCTCTGGAAAACCAAATTACCACAATCTTATTTCCAGCTCCAGCACAATAATGGCTGAAAGATTCTGCACTTCCTATCCCGCCACCCATTTCCCCATGTACCTATGAACTGAAACCAGGTACATCTTGGATGGAACAGTCATTCAGGAAGTACCTGACCACCCTGGATTTAAGGCTTAGCCATGTTTTCTGGGATGTAATGTCTCTTACCTACTTGGGCTCTGGAATAGTCAGTACTGAGCTTTTGGATACCTGAGAAGTAAATGCAAGTCTATAATGATCCTGCCTCCTGGCCACAAGTAATCATGTACCAGTTCATGGACTGCCTGCCTTTAATTTCTGAGTTAAATACTGGTATATGCAGGACTAAGATGGATAAATCAGGGGTTTCTTATCTAAGTCAAGGGAGAATGTCTGAAATAAAGAGAGATGGGTAACAGATCTGTAATGAGACTAGCATTTAGCTAATAACAATAATAGTAATATTAAATTAATAAAATAAAAAATAGCTACCTCTTAGGCACTCTGCTAAGTGTGCCACATGCATTAATGTGTTTAATCTCCAGAACAATCCTATGAGATATGATATCCCAAATTTACAGGTAGTTATATTTGGAATAATGGGATTATGTAGGTAGGATCAAACAAGCAGAGATTTTTGCAAATCCTTCAGGTAAAAACTGAAACAAGAACTTAGCAGTTGAGTTCTATCTGGCAACTGGCTAATGTCCAAGAGCAATCAGCAAATTAGTAAATCTTTCCCATGTCAACCACCCCAATGTGTGTTCACAAGGGAATGGTTTACACATTTCCTTGAAAATGTCTTTATCAGAGCCAACTGCTACACTAGAACAATCCTAAGAATCCCCCAGAACTGAGGAACAACCGCCAATTCTGCACAATTGTGACTGCTGGAAGACAGTGGCTATGAAACACCTACATATATGCCTCTCGCAGAACTTTAAATCCAGGCTTACTCAGTGTAAGTTCAGCCAGAGTGTTGGAACATACTGCTGCTGCAGCTTAACACACACCATAAAATATCCTGAGCAATCCTTTGGCATCAGGGGTAGTGCAATGAGAACCACTCAACTCTGGAAAGTTGGGGTATCTGTGACTAAGACTTAATGAAATGACTTGTTCATGATTTGGTGAACTGAATTTCTGCCAAGAAAGGTATATTTTGCAGACAAGTGTTATAATAGAAAGCAAAGTAAATACAAATGTTTATAAAGTTGGCAACTTATTGGAAATGGTAGAGATTATCATTTGCTTCTGTCCACTGTGATAAATGATTATTTTCCTTTTGTCCTTCTAGATCTGCTCTGCACCCTTTCCATCTGTCCTCAGCCAGGAAAAAACTGACCTATAAGGACCATATCACCTGGGTTCCTTTGACTTCTGGCTTCGAGTTGAAGACCATCAATGGGGAACATGATTAGGAGACGGGGGCAGAGGACAACGAAGAAGAGTAAGGGTGGGATATTTGTTCCTTTTGCTATCTGTCTGCAGTGTTGTCTTGGGCTGGGCATGCCCGTTGACTAAAGGTCTCTATCCTTCCAGGTTCAGGCAACTGACTCCTCTCGCTCATTTCTTCAGGCCTAGGAATGTTGTACCTGTCTCCAAGCTCCTGCATTTTCCCTTGTGGTAATGCTATATTCACACTCAACCTGTTGTAAAGAAATCCTCATTAAAATCTCCTTTAGTGCACTTTCTGTTTTCAGATGGAACGCTGATTGACAGAACCATTCACACTGCTCCCCCAGACATAAATCACCCTAGATTTATTATGAGTCTATCTTCTCCACAATCCTTTTATAGAATAACTTTTAAAAACTCCCAGGTTAAGCTCCCTGATCTTTTCTGCCTTCAACTTTCTCATCTTCCAAAAGGCTATGGTCACCTTTATTTTTATCCAATGCTTCCTGTTAGCTTCAAACCATATTATTCCTGCTCTTGCTATTCTCATAATTTAGTTTTCTAAATATAAAAACTTTCTACAGCCAAATGGATTACAAAGATTCAAAATCCCCTCTGAACATAAGCTGCAAATGGCATAAATGACTTTTGCTAGTTGCCAGCGGCCTTGATAACACAAGTAGTGCTACATGCAAATGAGTGCTAATGTGAAAGTGGCTCTGTCACTTGAGATTAATGTGTTTTTGGTGAAAAAATAAAAGTCTAGGAGTACAGAGATTTATGATAATTCTTATCTACGTCAGGTGCTTTGAATCTCTTAACTGACCTGGAGTCGTCGTGGCAATGGCCTTTTTGCATCTACAGAATTTAAAAACAAACCTTCGAAGCTTTAATGTTCATCTATTCACTTGCCAAATGTATTTGGTGCCTACTGTGTGTCTTAAGCATTATACTTGATTTTATAGATTTCAAAAATAAACAGGACACATTATCTGCCTTCAGGAACCTTACAGCTAGTGGTGGAGGCAGAACCATAAGCAGAAAAGATAATACAGGGTGATTAGAGCAATAATAGAGAAACAAAATATTGTGAGAGCACAATAAAGGAGTAACCAACTCACCTTGGGAGATCATTGAAAGTTTTCCAGAGAAGACAGTTCTTGACATAAATCAACAGGAGTGGACATGTACAACTGCCTGCTAGACATTTCCTCCTAAATATCCTATAGAAACTTCAAACTCAACAAGGTTCAAAGTAATGCATCATCATTTACTTTAAACATGCTTCTCTATTTCTCTGTTTTTCAGGTTCTATTTAGTCACCTAAACTACAAACCAGGGCATCAGCTCTATCTAATGAAGTCCTGCCAATATAACCTCTTCAAAGAAATGAAAAAAAGAGAGCTAACTAAGGCCAAGAGTTGTGGTTGATGAATGTTGTGAGCTCAACTGTGGTTGAAGATTAGAATGGACTAATCTTTATATTTATAGTTATTCCTCTGATAATATCCAAAGCTTTACTAAAAAACAATAGCAAAACTAATCATTTAATGATTTAAGTTTTCAAAGACAATTTAGGAAACATTTATATCAGACTATCTGGAATGTCATTTTTATACTAGTGCCCTTGGTGATTTAGATATTCCCCTTCAAGGTAATAGTGGGAAGAGTAACTATCTCTGACATACCAGGCTGATATGTACTGTTTTTTCTCCAAGATGTTACTTATGGGAGTATGTTTTATATAAGAATATGTTTGAATCAAAAAAAAAATTCAAGACTCAATGAGCAAGGCTAAGATAATAGAAGGAACTAAAATGTCCCTGGGTACCTATCACTGGTCATAATACTAATCTGCTTCTCAAGAGAGAGATTATTTCTCCCTAATTTCCAGTTTTGTGATAAAGCCCTTCTTCAGATTTGAGTAAACATAGGACATAATGTAATTTCATCTAAAACAGATTGTTATCAAGATGAAAGATTCATTGAAATGCCTACAAAACACTAAGAGAGTCTATTTGGAAGTGATAGCAATTTAAAAAAAAAATCAATCCATCAAGAGTATGTTAACAGTCCTGGGAAGGTAATGCGATTTGAATATAGTATTAGAGAGAAATAAATGAAATTTGCAAATTACTTAGACTATAGCACAGAATGTTGACGCTTAATGTAAGCCGCATAATATTGCTGCTGTTCAATTTTTGTTCATTTTGCAAAGTAACTAAACCCAAATGTGAATGTTCAAAAACTGCTTATGCTAAATAAAATGGATTCTGCTTTCCTTTCACATCAGCAGCAAGTGCTTAGTAATTATTGCTGTCACTGGATGTTATACTGCATTGATCCAGGCATTGAACTCTGATGATATTGATTTGTGCCTAAAGCTTGAATAAAGTTTAGTGAACAGTCTCAAATTCCCAGGAGTAGGTGCCCCTTGCTCTGTTTGTTCCCACCATCCCAAGCAAATGCCACACAACTTGAAAACTGTAAGTAGATTATGACTTTATATATTTTAGTTTAATGTATGCTAATTCCTTACTTATACAACAATTTTTCTTAAAGACCATTAAAGGATCCACTAAAGGTTATTAATCTTAAATATGACCATGTCCTAGTGGAGAAGGAAGACAAGCCAGATCTTAATTATTCAGCTGAATAACTTTGAAACATAGATATAAAAAATTTTCAAAGATCTCTTTCTCTTTTCCTCTCTCTCGTATACACATAGAGGGAAAATAGAACTCTCATAAAATTTTATTTTTCAGTCTCAAAATATTGCTTTTCAGTCCTTCTCTTATGCTTTAAAAATACCCACTATTTCTAATTTTTGACTGTTTACCTTTTTATTACATTTCCTTTTATATTTATAAAACTTTTCTTTGAAATATATCCATCTAAAGTAAAAAGCTTTGGGGTAAGAATACTTCATAAGACTGAAAATTGGCCTCTCAACCAGTGTCACCATAGAAAAGGTGATTATAGAAAGACTGTAAATTATTCTCTAAGAAAATGGGAAAGTACAAATGCCACTCCCTTTGGATAGAACTATTCCCCCAAACAGTATGGTTTTTTGTTTTTTGTTTTGTTTTGTTTTGTTTTGTTTTGTTTTTGAAGATGCAAGACAAAAGTGAGGAACAATTTGAGCATTTAATAGTAAGATTTAACCTCAGAACATATAACTTTAGCCAGTGGTGTCCAGCAGTAAAACCATATTACAGCTTAATGGAATAGAGACTTCATAGAGCCTACAGATCCTGTTGACTGAGACATTTACATGAAACACTATTTATTTTTTGATACTACTGGGATTAATAATATGTGATATTTGATGTTATCTAAGTTTATTAGGAAATACTTGTTGATTATGCTTCTGAAATGATAGAAGAAACATTAATCCATTAAATTTGGGAATCTCAGTCCTAATTTCCAATGTTTCTTGTATCTTCTATTGCTTTATAAGAATCTTTATTTCAAGGATACTGGGGGTGATTCTCTATTGAAGTTGTTTTCATAATGGAATTGGAAGAGAAAATGACAGACATATGCATCCTACAGTATTTTACTATGTCAATTCAAATGAAATGAAATAAATAAGAAATTGGAAGTTTTCAGCTGTGTTCTTTGGTCCCCACCCAATTGTTCCCGGCTGGCTCAACTGTAAAACAAAGTTGGTACACTCCTGATTTACTTAAATGGGAAATAATGACATTTTCTTGAGGAAACTTAAATTTCATCAGGTGTTTCTCCTAGTAAGGAAAACAGGTGTTGAGTTACTTGATCTCTACTAGGAACAAAAACAGATTTCACTTTATATCTCTCAAAGCCCAAAGAGAAGAACCTAGGTACTTTCCTCAGTCCTTGGCTCAAGTTGCTTTGTTCTGTATTTCTACAACATCTACCCTAGAATAGAAACAACTTTTAAAACAAAATGCCTCTTGTTGTTAAGAAGTCATATTTGTTGTTTGCAAACATAGGAAAAATAGCAGTGTTACAGTAGAGAAGCCTAGTAGATAGCAGGACAAAGTGCCTACTGATGTGAGGCTCTGAGGAAGACCCAACATAATCTATGCGTCATTTCAGCCCAAAATGCATAACGTGGAATCTACTCATGGGGAAACATCAGACAAATGCAAATTGAGGAACAGACTACAAAATAAATGGCATACACTATTAAAAAACACAAAAGCTAAATACAATGAGCACCATGGGATTGGATCCTGAGACAAAAAATAATCACCATAAAGGATATTATGACAATTGACATTTTTAAAATAAGGTCTTCAGATTTGATCATGGTATTGTACTAATGTTAAATTTCCCCATTTTCATCAATGTGCTAAGATTATATAAACAAATCTCCTTGTTCTTAGGATGCATACACTGAAGTATTTAAGAGTAAAGGAGAGTGATATTCTCAACTTGTTCTCAAATGGTTCAGAAAAGAAATACAGATACACACAAATATACATACATATACACACATACACACACAATGGGGGTGTGAGATGGAGACAGAAAAATAGTAAGTATAGCAAAATGTTAACATTAGGTGATTCTAAGAAAAGGGTAAACAGAACTTCATTTTATTCTAAACTTCCTGTAAGTTTGAAATCATTTCAAAAGAAAAAGTTTATTAAAAATTACATCAGTTAACTGTAAAGGGGTTTTATGTCTGCTTAAAAGTATTGTGGGTCCCTTGCATTTCTGATGGTTAGTGCTATGCAGATTTAGGATAGGAGCAGATCAAAACAACTTTTTGCTCCAGATAATGGTTATTTTGCGAAGATGTGATAATTTATTTTCTGTTTACTGCTGGCCAACACAATTTCCTTGATTTCCCTTGCACTGTATAAAATAAGCCATACACCACAAAAGAGTGGTGTCCTGTCTAGTTTTTTTTTTTCATTAAAAAAAAATACTCTTATTCTAATTGTATAAAGAGTAAATGGTTGGCAGCTATTAGCACTTGTAAAAGATCTTTGCATGTGAGCTGAAACAAAAATATTAACAACTTGACATTTATTCCCACATTCACTGTAGTTACTATCTCAGAGATACCAAAACAAATATGGCACCAACAGTGCACTGAAGCCAAACAACTGGCCTGCACTTCCTGGGCAGTCAGGGGCAAGGGATGGATCTGAAGGCCATGAGACTCACCAAGCTTCCTAAAGCTGGCTCAGTACTAGCCTTGGCCATAGACACACAGAATATTCAGGAGAAGTAGAACAGTATTTTTCCACATGAATACCTTTGGCAAAACCCACTGTTTATTCTTTTGATTTTCTTTTACAACAATCGAGGGTCTCTCCAGTTGCTAAGTGAAGGATTTAAAAGTAGAAATACGTATTTCACTATTTCACTGGGCGTGGTGGCTCATGCCTGTAATTCCAGCACTTTGGGAGGCCAAGATGGGTGGATCACCTGAGGTCAGGAGTTCAAGACCAGTCTGACCAACATGGTGAAACCTTGTCTCTACTATAAATATAATATTAGCCAGGAGTGGTGGTGCATGCCTGTAATCACTGCTACTTGGGGGGCTGAGGCAGGAGAATCACTTGAACCCAGGAGGCAGAGGCTGCAGTGAGCCAAGATCACGCCATTTTACTGCAGGCTGGGCAAGAAGAGTGAAACTCTGTCTCAAAAATAAATAAATAAATAAAATGAAAATGAAGGTAGAAATACATATTTCTGTAACAGTCAATTAGATTATACCTACAATAATTCATAGCTACCTAGATAAAAGAACAGGATCACACATATTATGAAATGTAGAATACTTAATGTGGCCTAGTTATGGCTGACAACAAATAGTGGTGTCTGATTCTAAAGGGTTCGCTATGGCTTGTCTGGGAAAAGCTGTTCAACTTCTTCATTTTCCTCTTCCTTGAATTGTTCAAAATTGTACCAGAATAACTACTTTTTTCTGAGACAGAATCTCGTACTGTTGCCTGAACTAGAGTGCAGCAGTGTGATCTGGGTTCAAGCGATTCTCCTGCCTCAACCTCCCAAGTAGCTGGGATTTCAGGTGCCTACCACAACGCCCAGCTAATTTTTTTGTATTTTTAGTAGCGATACGGTTTCACTATGTTGGCCAGGCTGTTCTCAAACTCCTGACCTCATGATCCACTGGCCTCGGCCTCCCAAAGCAGAATAACTACTTAAGATGAATTAACCCTTCTTTCAGATGCAGAATATCAACTAAAATAATGTCACTGAAAATTTGTGCTGTTGTGCAGATAAAGGGAGTGCTTTGGCATAAAATGCTCAGAGGTTGTGATTAGTAGATTTAGTGCACACAACTGTCAGAGGTCCATATGGTCTTTCATAATGTTAAGATTAAATTCACTCCCAAAGAAAAATCCCTGCCCATGAGAGCTCAACTCTTTCGAATGCCTGAGTTATACCTTGCTTAGAAACTATCCATATTGGATGATTTCTTATTTCTCTTTGGCCAGTGGAGTCCCAGTAGCTATATCATATTCTCATTCATAAATGCACAATTAAGTCCTAAGGAATTAAGAGCTTTGATGGACCTGAGTTCAAATCGGACTATTCCAATAATAGGCAGTATAAGTTTTGCACCAGTTTTCCTAGTACTTATAAACCTCAGTTTTCTCTTCTGTAAAATTGATATAAAATAATATATGTTATAGGGGTATTGAGAGGCTTAACTGAGTCAACAACGGTAAGGTCTTTAGCACAATGTGTGGTATTTAATTAGAGTTAAATAAATGTTCGTCATTTTTCTACACACAGGAACATAAATGGGTATGTCAGGGTGATCCCATTGTCTAAAGGGTGATCCCATTGACCAACGTCTCTGCACTAGTGTCATCACATTGGAATATGAGAAAACAGGAAGACCTAACTTCCTTAACATCATTATCTATTTGTTTACCTTGATTTTCACAGCACCTGAGTTCTCTCATACTTATTTATGCATTTAAACACATTAACTCTTAAAAATGGTTTTAACATGTCAGTTGGTTTATAACCCATATTTCTTTGCCATTCCTTTCTGTATCCTACACTTAGTACCCTAGTTTCAAGACAAAACAAAAGAAAATTGAAATGAGGTAGTGCCTCACCAGCCTGCCTTCCCTCCCCAGGGTAGCAAGACAAATAAAGGTTTTGTTGTTTGTCTCAAGTAAGCATCAACACAGCCTGCAGCAGCCCTGTCAGCACCAGCCCATGATGCCAGGGAATTGCTGGGAGTGCCAGGATACTGGTGCCAATTTGCTGCCTGGGCTCCTTCAAAACCACATCAAAGTATCTGCCAGTTTCTAAACTTCCTTCCCAGACTCATGGGAGGAACATGGGGACCTCTAGATGGGATCAGATGTGTGGTTTTTCACATTCCCCCCCTCCATCTCCCCGCCTGCCAACGTGGGTGAGCCTCCAGTATTCTCTGTGTTCACAGGACTCTTCAGTTAAAATAATATTCATAATAGTTGAAACCTATAACAGTTTGTGAGAAGGATCCAATAAATTATATAATTTATGTGTCTTCTCTATTACAAAAGGCCTGACTCCTACAAGTATTTCAAAATTTAATAATTCAAGAATTCAAATGCACAGAGTTTGTTTTGGAGGTACAGAAAATACCATTATTGAGAGGCTTATTGGAGTGGTCTAGTGATAAAAGGAAGAGAAGAAAGACAATAGTTTATTAAGTCACCACAGTGGATAACTAAATCCTGTGGGAAAATGCTGTGAAATAGTGTAAAACATAAGCCATGTGTGATGGCTCATTTTATATGTCAACTTGGCTAGGCTATGGAGCCCAGGTGTCTAGTTAAACACTAGTCTAGATGTTGCTGTGAAGTCTACAATCAGTCGTCACCAAAGCAGAAGACTACAGCATGGAAAACCTGCCTGAATTTCCAACCTACTGGACTGTCCTGCAGATTTCAGATTCAAGACTGCAACATCAACTCTTACCTGAACTTCCAGCCTGCTGACCTGCCTTACAAATTTAATACTTGTCAGCCCCTACAATCACATAAGCAAATTCTGTAAAATCTTCCTCTCTCTCTCTTTCACTTTCTCTCTCTCTTTCTCGTGCATATGTGTGCATGGTTCTGTTTCTCTGAAGAATCGTGTCTTAATACACCACACAAGAAGTAAAGATGTTAGGTTAGTGATATACCAATGCCCTCCAAACATTGGTTGACAGCTGTGCTCAGGGGTAGTAGAGCCCTGGACATTTCCAGACTGTTGCATGCACAAGCAGAACATCTTTTTCAGCTCTAGAAAAAGCCTAAAAAGCCTTTAGGCATAGAAATAAATATATTGGTGATTGGAAGCAGGCTGGAGAATGCCAAAGTGGTAGGTCCAAGGGATGAATGAGGCAGTAACTTATCTGCTTAGTCCATCCCTTGTACCTCTTTATTTAAACAGATAGCTTGTCACAATTTCTAAAACAAAAACAAACAAGTTAATAAAAATTTAGAAAGTCTAGTGGGTTAAACTGTAGCTCATGTTATTACAGTTGGTTGCTTCTCACTACTCCTTCTATATATATTCCTTCTCCTTCAGCATGCATTTCCCCTGGTCTTGGTTGTTTGCCTAATTGCATAGCCCAGACCATCATACCTGAGGGGTCTTA